ATTCACATTCATAATACACATTCACCAGGACAGGGAGGCAATGCCGGGCGAATTATGCCACTATCTGCCAATGGATCGTGGATGCCTGGACTAAGGGATCAGTTTCAAGTGTCGTCCGTTTGTTTCGCTTAATCCGCCTTGAATCCGATGCGTCTTATGTATGAAAATAGACGAGAAAATTCAACATTATTGATATTTCGCCTTATAGTCCAAAAAATACAGTATTCAATTACAGCTAAAAAAATAAATAAATAAATAAAAGGCATTCTGACTGAGCAGGGTTGCCTCTCCACAGATCTGACCTGTAACTTTGTCTGGTTTGGTCACCATGAAGATTGAAAGGTTTAATACCATACTATGAAACATTCCAGACGAAGCAATAACATCTCCATGGAGAAAAGCATTTGATGGACCTTCCACCAGAAAAGTTACACAATGCACCTTTAATTGTTTCTCTTCTCAGTCTTTGCGTTATGGATTTCACAAGACTCATTTCTCATTAGATGATGTAATGGGTAAATGGAAGAATCAATAGATACCTCGAAACCATCTCTAAATGTAAATCAACTCGTATTACATTTCTCTTGGATCATAATGAGTGCAGTGAGGCCAGGCCAGACCCCAAAGACACATGTTAGTACTTTAACTTTTATAGCTTTGTGATAATTTGGTAGTTTGTTGTAGTGTTTGGAATGTTGTTGCCTAGCTGCTGGTGTCTTGTTTTTCACATCGTAGACTTGGTTGTCACAGTCACTTTCCAGATAAACCAGTGTAAAGTGTTTTAAATCTTTCACTATTTCCACTTTTAGAGATTAAAAGATGCTCGCTGTACTCGGAGGCATGCTGACTTTTCAATTAATGGGGGAATGTTGGATTGACACGGTGACCTAGTTGCTAAGTAACGCTCGGTCTGCCCTGTAGGTCTGAGCACGTTTGACCTTTACGTGTTAAGACTTTTATGTGTAATCTGGAATGAGATGGAGAAAGTAGAATGCAGATCCCATATTTTATGACTTAATTTTATTCATATTGCTTTACTATATTGATATTTTCCATTGGAGTGGTTCTATATATGTGTGTATATGGCGAAATGTTCAGCAGTTACCATGGTGACACAATGCATATATTAGTCAAGACAAAGCCAAATAGTCTGAAAATCACGAAAAAATTCAAAATGGATTTAAAAAGCACATTTTCAAGAGCCTGTAATCATTAGAAGTGGCCATGGTCATGTTTAGGTGTCTAAGTTTCAACAAAAAAGTGAGAAACTGAAAAACTAGTTAATGCTACGGAGCTTGTGACTGTAATTTTATGTGCGAGAGGGGCTTGTTTTACAGGACAAATCATCTCACCTTTTGTAGTTCCAGTTAAACCAGCTCTTCTTGGTCAGATTATGTTAAAATAAAGTTCAGATTAAAGGTTAACTTTAGGTAGATGGTGTATTCCAATAGTAACCCAGATACTGTGGCATGTATGTGCAGTATCCCTGTTACTGCAACATAAAGTTAAGTGCGCATGCGTCCAAAAGACAAACACTTTTCAGTCTTTTCATCACAACAGTAGCCAACATAAATAAAGTGACCATACATGAGTGAAATGACAATCTGCACTCATACAATCTGCACTCGTATGACCTGCACACGTATGATCGCTGAAAAGTTAAGCATGAACCATCTCCTATACGATATACGCACTGAACAGACTTACCATCATTAGCACATCCTCTGTCACAGAAAGAACACATATAATCCACTGAGTCGTGTCCTTTAGTATGACAGAAGCTGACCACATCAGCAGCACTTACAGTTATTGCAAATTAGCCATGTGGTTTTAAGTTTTGTTTCTGTAAAACGTAAACAAATGTGCAAAGTTGTCGATACAATACATACCTCGATACATAAGACACGATACTATACATATCTCAATACAGTGAGCTTACGATTCGATACAGTTGAATAAAAAATAATGGCTAAATCATGGCTGTAATACTAGTCTTTGTTAAACCATTTCTTTTGCAAAGTGCATAAGAAAGCGCCATTGCAGTGGCTTCCAGTTCATTTTAGAGTTGATTTTAAGATTTTATTGTTTGTTTTTAAAGCTTTGAATGGACTGAACCCACAATACATCTAAGACCTCATCCAAATTTACACTACCGCGCACACTTTGAAGTCCAAGGGCCAGCTCCATTTTGTGGTGCCTAAGACGAGACTTAAAACCAGGGGGACCTTCTCTGTGGCCAGACTCAAACTCTGGAAAGCTCTGCCCCCCACGTCCGAACAGCCCTCACAGTGAAGTGTTTTAAGTCTCGCTTAAGACCCACTTTTATTTTATATTTATTTATATTCATTATATTTATGTACTTTATTTATTTACAGATTTTTTATGATTTTCATGTTTTTTGCTTTTATTTTGATTTTACTGGTTTTATTGTTTTAGGACTGATATGACCAAATTTTAGCAAGTTACCTTTTTGTTGTCTTCATTTTATGATCTTGGAAACTGTTTTGTTTGTAAAATGTGGATTTGGATTTGAAGTGGAAGTGGAGAAACACCCATTTTTATCATCAAAACTGTGAAAATGTCAGATGTGTTCCACTAAACAAGCAACAAAACTGTAGCGTTGTAATATAATACTTTAGTAAAATATAATAAAAAGTACTATTGGCGATATATCAATCACATTAAACGATATTTCAGTATTTTTGAACACCCATTTTTTGAAGTCCCATTTTCTTTTGTCGTTTTCACCTACTATACTGTCCATTCAACTTCTCACCCTGCACTGTAATTGTCATCTTAGATTCTGCACCATTTGTTCTGATTTGCATCTCTTTATATTTCAGTCATTATCTTTAAAAATATTCCATCCGTTGAGCACCAGCATTTCCTACATATCAATATCACATCCCCTCCAACATGATAATAACAGTGCACGCTGCTACAAGTCAATAGTTCACTTCTGTTCTATGCAAACTGTACATCTGAGACTATGCACATGGTCCAGCCTGTTCCCACTTGGCTGTCTGTGTTGCAGTTGGACTTTTATATAAATAATTCAAAAGAAAAACATGGCGCGATCATCGGGGTGAGGTGCAAAGAGCTGAGACTAATGGCACAGGCGCTTGCTGTGTTTTTCACATATTGATTTTCTATATTTTGTTGCCTGTGCAGCTCAAAAGATTCCATTTCTGATGCATTTGTGAGGGCTGCGAGGGCATAGATCAATACATGATGCTAGCCCGAGTATCTCTGCTTTTACTGCTACTTATGGAGAGTGCTCGCAAGTAGAAATGATTGGGAGTTTCTACAGGATGAAACACAGACGAAATGGTTTTAAAGGAAAATACGCTTTTAACCTGCTGGGGTAAAAGTTTTTATTAGTTATTATTAGTTTCCCTGGCATTAAAAATATAGAAACCTTACATGAACTCTGCACCATATTGACTCAAAGGCAGTTCACGTTTCAGATTTTTATAGCGGAGTAAGAAAGTTTATCAGTAAAGAATGTAGTATTTTCCATGGGTTTTCAACTCCAACCAGAATAAATCAATGAGAATGTGATTGGAGTGTTTGGTTTTGTGTTTGTGTCTTTCCCAGCTGTGTATTGTTTTATTTGCCCTTTCAAAACAGATCATTTAGAAGTATAGCCTGTAGCAATGTGAGTAAAGCAGCTACAATCAAGACTCTTGTAGTTGTCTTCTTGCATTTAAATAGCCAATATTCTACTGTTTTCTGATCTAAGTTATACTGTTGTTTCTTCATCAAAATATACCTAGAGTTGTGTTTTGATTTATTCACACATGTTCATACACAAACATACATATTTAGTTCTTCTCTCAAATGTTCTACCTTGTGATGTCAAGTGTTTTTAAACTCCACACACCTTTACTAGAATCATTTGGACAATTTCAGACCTGGAATTAGGGCTGCTTATTTTTTTGGGGGAAAAAAAAAAAACATCAGCACGATTATTTTGGTCATTATTGATTCAGCATTTCTCTCTCTCAAAAAAAACAAAAAAAAAAAAACTTTGTTATTGATAATTTATACAAAACTTTCAAATTGAAAATAAAAGTTTTAGAACACCAGTTTTTTACTGTTTACTGTTGACCAAAATGTATTCTGAACTTTTGATTCATGAAAGTGTCCACCTTTGGCAGATATAACAGCTGAACACACTCGTGGCTCGTGGCTTTTTACAATAGAAATAAAATATTCTTCAGAAAGTTCTTCCCAAGTCTGTCGCAGAAGTTCCCATAAATGTGTGGCACTTGTAGTTGCTTGGCTTTCACATTTCTGTCCAGATCATCCAAAACCAGCTCGATGGGGTTTAAGTCCGGAGACTGTGCTGGACACTCCATGTTTTCAAGATCACCATGGTGTTCTTTTTTTTCCTGAGGTAGTTTTGGCAAAGCTTGTGTTTTGTTATGTTTATCTTGTTTTTTTAACCTCTGGCTGTTCAGTTCTTACCTTTGTACCATTTCAAGCTCTTAATTGGACTTGCACGACTTGAATTGCAATAAATAACTGGAAAAATGAGGTTGTTCTAAAACTTTTGATCTGTTGTGTAGGCTACAAATATGTACCTTAGAGCAGTTTTGCGATGTATAAAACATAAAATGAAGAAAATATACTTTGAACATGTAATAAGGCATAGAAAAACATAAATGTGTCTCTATATTTAAATCCCCAAATAAACTTTGTGATTTCGATTTGTGTATCTAACAATCTCCAAACTCACAACTATAATTGAGTTAAAATGATTAAAGCTTAACAATCAAAATTCAGTTATTTAGCACAGCCTTACCTTGAATTTTCTGTCTCTACTGAACAAAATGTAAAAGAGTAGCTGTTCCCTTCAAAACATGACATCACAAGGTGGCACAGAGCATTTTAATCTCTGGAGGTGTAGACAGAGTAATAAAGGGTTACTCAAGCATGTTTTACATAATATAAGACTATTTCCTAGTTTTCTTATCTTATTTTTTTTTCTTTTCCAGAGAAAGAATCTCCACCTGCTGCTGAACATCTGCATCCTGGCTCTGAGCGGTGCCCTGCTGCTGGCCGGTCGATTCTACTGGATGGGAAACAAACCTCCAAACTTCTCCAACTCAGACAATCCAGCCGCAGACTCCTCCTCTCTGCTCACCCGGACCCTCACCTTCTTCTACCTGCCCGTGGTCAACTTCTGGCTCCTCCTCTGCCCCCATACGCTCAGCTTTGATTGGTCCATGGACGCCATACCTTTAATCCGAAGCTGTTCTGACTGGAGGAATTTACAGACAGTGTTCTTCTACTGTGGATTACTGTTGCTCGCTTGGTATGGATTGTTAAAGCACAAAGCGACAAAAATCAAAGACTCAAATGGTAAAGCTTATATTTATACAAACGGGAGTAATGGTAGTAGTAATGGACATAGCTACCACTGTAATCATGAACAGACAAACTCACATATAAATAACAACATAAGTGAAGAAAATGGTACCAAAAAGCACTATGAAAGCAGGACTCCTCTGCCCACCACTGAGAATATAGTGATCTTCTCTTTAGGGCTCTTGGCAGTCCCCTTCCTCCCGGCTACAAACCTCTTCTTCTACGTGGGCTTTGTGATAGCAGAGAGGGTGCTCTACATCCCCAGTATGGGCTTCTGTCTGCTGCTGGCTGTGGCCATGAGGGCCCTGTACGTGAGGCTCAGACACAAACGCTCCAGGACCGCGCTGGTCTACTGCAGTGCGATGCTCATTCTTCTGTTTGGAGCCAAGACTGTACTGAGGAACAGGGACTGGCAGAACGAGGAGATGCTCTACAAATCAGGGATCTATGTCAATCCTGCTAAAGGTAAGATTATTCAAAATCAGACAATATGACATAAGGATTTATCGTGCCTGTGTTGACGTTTTGAATACACAATTTGTGATTCATTGTTTAATGTCAGTAGTACCGTATTTTCCGGACTATTGAGTGCACCTGAATATAACAAAATTTTAAAATTGTACATATATAGGCCATACCTTAATATAAGCCGTAGGTGTCCACATCTTCAAGAACATTTTCAAGTTCGGGCCGTCTGCTTTTATCGCTTCTGAAAGCTTTTGTCGTCTTTTTACACCGAGTCAGTTTGTCACGCTGCCGTCCTCAAAGTCCCACCATCGACTCACTGATGCCGAGCTCACGTGCAGCAGCTCTGTTTCCCTTCGTTCAATTAAGAGCTGCATCATCTGCATTTCTTCGTGTGTTTTCCATGAAGAGGGTGTGTGCATGAAGCGCAAAATAACTGTTCAAAACACAATCAAACTAGAATCTTCCTAGCTAGTTCTATCAGGTATGAGTGGATGTCTTGAGACGTTTCTTCTCGTCATTTACGCATACGGGTAAGACATCCCCGTCACTAATGTTAATATAGCATCATAACTTATTTTATCACACGGTTATAAACTATTTGAGTGCGCTGACAATATCGCTAGCTAGTGTAGCAACTTCAAGTGAACCGTAGATCCATGTGTTAACCGCACAGACAGCGGCATTTTCTGCACTCACACTGCCTGCATCCACCGTGCTGCCAAACCATAGACCGTATATGAATGGACAATGTACCAGACAAATAATCCGTAGTAGCCGCGACATTTTATTAGCCGCAAGGGTTCAAAGTGTGAGAAAAAAAGTAGCATCTTATAGTCCACGGTAACTGTCATTTTTTCTCTGCTTTCAAAGCTTCCAGAGAAATACAACAACAGCACTTGATCCCTTCTTTTATCCAGTTCAATCTCAAAAAACAACACAAAACAATTTTTCTCATGTGTGCTCAATTTTATGCACAATTTTATAGCGTGGGATTTTGTGGTACGACTTTGTCCCATCCCGACTTACCACATAGCTGGTTAGTCTCCATCATGCCTTTAAACTCTCAATTTAATTTTTCAAAAAGTCTGTGAGAAAACACCAGTGAGAAATTTACTTCCATCTGTTGAGCTTCATACTTATGTGGAGATGTTTTGGTTTCATTCACACACGTCATGTCAAAGTTTATTTATCTGTTTTGCTTTGTGATTCACCATGATACCCTCTTAAGTCAGCGATCTTATTTATTTATTTGAAATAGTAATTTTACAATTTGATTTATACAAAAACTAAGGAATGAAAAACAAGACTCACAGAGAAAAACACTGCTGGTCCCTTCTAAACCTCTTCTGCTCTGTATAAATCAAAGCAAAATCTGTTTCTAAATGTCTTCTATTTATCTCAAGGGAGCAGGGTGGAAATCAAATCCAAAGACTCCTGGTGTGAGAGCTCATCTCGTCCCGATCTCATTCTCAAGGACCCTTCATTTATAAAGGCTTCAGTCAACACAGACACACATGTATCTTCAGTGCACAGTGTGAAGTCTGCTGTCACCATTTGCCCTTTGTCTTCCTGGAGGGGCATCAGAGTGGTGCCACCCTCCTGTGATTGGCACTGACTGCAGGGCATCTGAGGTTCAGTACTGTATTAATAGAAGGGCTCAGTCTTGTTCTTTGCAGCAGTGAGGCAGGGCGGGCAGCGGACATGTTGCGAGTCTGATCTCTCTTTCAGATGCTCAGGCCGAGGTGGAGCGTGACAGCTGTTTGTTTTGGCAGCGTCGGTGGAGCGCCTGTATCTAATTTATTACAGCTCTCATCAAATGTGTCAGAATCTAAAGTGAGCAAATCAGATCCTTCCTAAGTTCGTTTTATCAGCGGTTAATTCGTACTTTGGCTATAAATAATGTTTTATTGATGTCTGCTTGTAATAAAATCTGAAATCTTTTGAGAGAGGATTTTGGATCGCTTCCAACTGAGTAAACATGTTAGCACTGTATACATGCATATTTTATACAAGTGTATTTTTGAAGAGTTAATTTGCAAAAATACTGCCATTCGAAAAAGTCACCGTAGGCTTTTAAAAATCTATTTTACTGCTATCCAAATATAATTCAATCCCTTCCTTATAAAATCCACTGTACTGTCACTGCTAATATTTATAAAAGATGGTAACAAAAAGAGAAGAGCTTTTTGGCATTTTTCCAAAACGGAGATATCTGTTTTTACTATTGAACTCTTGATTTATTTAATATAGTGAGCCTTACAGAGAAATTAATCAGTGTTTAAGTTTAGTCAAGTATTACAAAAAATGAAATGCTGGAATATTATTTTACAGACTGTTGGCTGCTCCATATTCATGGGTTTGTGGGTGATAAAAAATTTGCATTGTTGCTATAGCAATTCATGATTAAAATACGGTTGAGTGGTGTGCCAAGTAATTCATATCAAGTTTAAATATCAAGACGATCACAGTTTTGAGTTTATTACAATTAAATGCCAAAGTTGGTGTATTTATATTGCCTTAAAGAGATAATGTGGTTCTTCTGAAACTTCATTGCTGTTGGTTAAATCCACATTGCTGAGGCTGACCTGTTGGAGTTGTGGATGAGGGAAAGAGTCTGTCTTTTGAGTCTTAACATTGTATTCTTATCCCCCAGGCTTAATTCAAAACAAATATTATCTTTTAAATGGTCAAAAACGTCCAAAACCTAAAATTCAATAATATTATTTGTTCTTCACCTCCAGCATTCTTTGAGAGTTGACGATCTCAGACTTGATTCACTTTGTACACCATTCGTTGGTAATGCCATTAGCAGTGCAATAGCTCTGTGGTGGTCTCTCTGTGTCCAGCTCTCTCTTTTTGGTAGAGCCTGCAGTTTTGCCACAAAGCTCTCCCAGCACGTCACCACCTTTTCTCCCCTCAATACAGCAGCTGCTCCAGTCTTTCTTTCACCTTCCAGGTTTACAAAAATAAGCCCCTGCCACCTGCTGTTTTCACTTAAGAGTTTTTTTTGCAGTGGACACAAAGTTGTTATTCTTGTGTTTGATTGACCTCTGTTTTTGTGACCTGTCAGCGTGGGGCAACCTGGGAAATGTGCTCAAGAGCCAGGGCAAGATGGAGGAGGCCGAGCACGCCTACAGGAACGCTCTGTACTACCGCAGCAACATGGCCGACATGCTCTACAACCTGTGAGTGACTCTGATTTTATGTAATCAGTTTTACAGTGCTGCTACTTTTCTGTCATGTGTTAACAGTTTGGCAGTCTTAAAGGTGTCTTTGGTAGAGGATCTGCAGGCTGCTTGTGTCTATGTAGAAATGCTCCACAGCAGGGGTCACCAAACTTTTTCCTCTGAGGGTCACATTATCACTCCTAACTGTGATGGAGGGCCGGGGTCAGGGGCCATATATCAGAACTGTATAACCCTGACAACACAGATGATATTCTTTGAAAACTGCCACACTTTCTTTACATATCAGACAAACTGCAAGTTCCTTACACTGAATAAAAAAAATTATCTGTCATCCACTGTTCTTTGAAAACTCGGCACTCTGTCAACTTTTCATACTTTAACACTCGCCATTTTGCTGTCTTTAACTGCACTACAGAACTCTGTGGTGCTCGACTGTCACTGTTTGATCTCGAGCTTGTCAGGTGATGAAAATTCAGCAGCAAAAGTAAATGCGTCATATTAAAAATAGAAATACTTCATATATATCGATTAACAAAATACAAAATGCAGACGTGTTATTATTTGCTAAAAAGTATTTTTAACATAGACCATGACAATATTTGAGGATTGCCTCATAGGGCCAGTTCAGGTGGTGGGGGGCAGAGGGGCTGGGGGACCGGTCAAAGAGACGTGGAGGGTTGGAGTCAGTTCGCAGGCCATAGTTTGATGACCCCTGCTCCACAATATGACATTGAACTGCATTCAGTTACAGATGTTTTTATTACTAAACATGTTATTGTATAAACTCTACACCAGGGGTCTCCAACCTTTAGCTCGGGAGCTACCAGTAGCTCTCCACCCCATTTCAAGTAGCTCGCCAAGAGATTTCTGAATTACATGTATTGTCCTGAAAACTCAAATTTGATGAATTAAATGCCTATTGTTATTGTAAATCTATCATTTTGATGCCTGACTTTGTGCAGTTATGAATAAATTATGTTTTATGTTTTATCTAACTGTACCCCATCTATGTCTTGCCATGGCTCTTTTGTATAGTTTTAGTTCCTGCAGCTGCTAAAATTATTAGCTCTCTGGCATTTTTGTTTTGTAAAAGTAGCTCACCCGAGGAAAAAGGTTGGAGACCCCTGCTCTAGCACAATAACATCTGCATGGAGACAAGCAGTTACACGGTGTATCTCATTACACAAAATGGATTCTTGTGAGCTTTAAGTTGTGTTATAATGTTGTTAGCTCAAAAACATACCAGGACTTGTGTTTTGTTTCATTTGCATATGTTTAAGTAAACCATATATTAGACAGACTTTAGATATCCACAAAAGCTCAAGATGCCCTGTTCCACTTTGTGATGTAGTGGTTATTTTCAAGTGAACTGTTACCTTTTACCTTTAATTCAATAGAGAATAGTAATTCCAGGGCTGAAATCATCCAAATGATTTTAATGAAGGTGCATGGAGTTCACAACGTACATTTTTTTTCACTAAAGAACACAGACAAACAAACCACAGCTTCTCCTTTGATTCCTTTAAGTGGAAGTAGTCTCTGTGTCTTGTTCCATGAGTTTGTATCTGTCTCTGTTATCGGTGGTGTTCTGTTAGCCTGAGGGAAACTCCACACGTCTTCAGTCATTACGTACAGTGTCCTCTCGTGTGTGTGGTCTGGTCAGATCTGTATCTCCATCAAACTGAAAAACACTGGCCTTTTAAGTGTGAGTTCCTGCTCTGTGTCTGTTCCAGGGGTTTGCTGCTACAGGAGAGCAACAAGTTCTCTGAGGCCGTTCACTACTATAAACTCGCCATTGGGAGCCGCCCCACTCTGGCCTGTAAGTACAACTCTCTCTCTCTCCATCCATCACTTTCTATTTCTCTCTCCTGCTCTCTCTTTCTCTCTCTTTTTCTCGCTCTCTTTCTCTCTGTCACTCTCCATCTCTCTCTCTTCCTTTCATTCCCTCTCTTTCTCTATTCTCTCTATCCTCTCTCCTTCTCTCTCTCTCTCTCTTTCATTCTCTTTCTCACTCTGTTACTCTCTCTGTGGGTGTCTCTTTCTTTCTCTCTCTCTCTTTCTTCCTTTCATTCTCTCTCTCTGTCGCTTTGTCACTCTCTGTGTGTATGTCTCTCTCTCTCTTTCTTCCTTTCATTCTCTCTCTGTCGGTGTCTCTTTCTCTCTCTCCCTCCGTCTGTCTTTGTATCTCTCTTCCTTTCTCTCTCTCTCTCCCTCTTCCTCTGTCTCTCTATCTCTCCCTCTCTTCTTTTCTCTCTCTTTCTCTCCCTCTCTTCCTTTCTCTCTCTCTCTCTTTCTTTATCTCTCCCTCTGTCTCTTTCTTTTCGCTCTTCCTTTCTCCCTCTCTTCCTCTGTCTCTTTCTCTGTATCTCTTCCTCTCTCTTTCTTTCTCTCTCTCCCTCTCTCACCCTGTCTCTCTCTGTATCTCTCTTCCTTTCTCTCCCTCTGTTTCTCTCTGTATCTCTCTTCCTTCTTTTCACTCTCCCTCCCTCTATCTCTCTCTCTCTGTATTTCTTCTCCCCCCCCCTCTCTCTCTCATTCTCTTTCTCACTCTGTTACTCTCTGTGGGTGTCTCTTTCTTTCTCTCTCTCTCTTTCTTCCTCTCATTTCTCTCTCTCTCTCTGTCGCTTTGTGTGTCTGTGTGTATCTCTCTCTTTCTTCCTTTCATTCTCTCTCTGTCACTCTCTCTGTTGGTGTCTCTTTCTCTATCTCCCTCTGTCTCTCTTTGTATCTCTCTTCCTTTCCCTCTCTCCTCTCCTCTGTCTCTCTGTCTCTCCCTCTCTTCTTTTCTCGCTCTTTCTCTCCTCTGCCTCTCCCTCTCTTCCTTTCTCTCTCTCTCTCTGTCTCTCTTTCTATTCGCTCTTCCTTTCTCCCTCTCTCCCTGTCTCTTTCTCTGTATCTGTTCCTCTCTCTCTTTCTTTCTCTCTCTCCCTCTCTCACCCTGTCTCTCTCTGTATTTCTCTTGCTTCCTTTCTTTCTTTCTCTCTCTCTCTCTCTCTCTCTCTTCTTCTCTCTCTCTCTCTCTGTATCTCTCTCTTCTCTCTCTTCTCTCTCTCTCCTCTCCTCTCTCTCTCTCTCTCTCTCTCTCTCTCTCTCTCTCTCTCTCTCTCTCTCTCTCTCTCCTCTTCTCTCCCTCTCTATTTCTCCCTCTCTCCCTCTCTTTGCTCTCTCTGTTCCTCTCTCTTGTGGTTTTGGCTGTGTCTGTGTCCAGGCAACTGTGGACACTGGCAGTGGACATGTCACAGCAGAGGGAGCGATGGCAAGAGGGCATCGAGTTTAAAGTCTAATTAAATACAGTGTACTCGGGCAGGGCATGAGTCAGTTCAGTCCTTGGTTCAATTTGATGTTTTTGTCTTTTCAAAAGTCAAATAAAAATGGCTTTCAGTATTGATTTTATAAACATAAACAAGACAGGCTTTTAATCAGCGCCAGTTAACACAAAACATAGTCAAATAAAAATGTATTCCTTCTGTTTCGCTACAAACCACGTTTTTACTGACAGAGGATTGGCTGTTGACCTCTTAAAATCAGCCAAGCATATCACTGACAATTGCACATGACTGAATCTGACTGAATGACTGAATTTATTTGATTAAAATCTGATTTACTGCCGAGGCCTTTTGGGGATATGTTGTATTTTGTCATGTGTGTAGCCTATGCATATGTTTGTCTTTCTATTGATTTTCCCTATAGTGCATTAGATAATTTATTAACGTATTAAAGGAACAGTTCAGAATTTTGGACATAGGACCTCATTTCCTAGTTGAGTGTGGAGACACTTTAAAAAATTCCATCCAGTCCTTGTATTTGCAGAGGTCGCTGGTGCTAGGCTAGTGCATGTCAATGGCCATAGTTAGCCTGCCATTAAAAACAGTCTTACCCACTCCACAAAACACCCGAAGCAAATCTGTTATTACGCCAGACTGTCGATGTAAATATCTGTGTTGATAGAATAATGTTTGAAATAAAACTAAGCTTGCATTGCATGAATTGTCACATGTTGAGGGATTATTTTCTCATATATCAGTCCGCCACGGCCAAGCTTTCTATCAGATAGTACAACTCGCTGCTGCTGCTCAGATATAAATCCTGGTTTTACAACTAAAATTATTCTATTGACACAGACATTTACATCGACAGTCTGGCGTAATAACAGATTTGCTTCGGGTGTTTTGTGGAGTGGGTAAGTCTGTTCTTAATGGCAGGCTAACTATGGCCATTGACATGCACTAGCCTTGTACCAGCGACCTCTGCAAATACAAAGATTGGATGACTTTTTTTTTTTTAAAAGTGTCTCCACACGTCTCCAACACTCTGGCTCACTAGGAAATGAAGTCCTATGTCAAAAATTCTGAACTTTCCCTTTAAAGGTTTAAAACTCCATAAATTAAATATGTAACACTTCTCAGTTGTAAAGGGAATAACTCATTGTTAGCTGGTCTGAACTTTTCCTGTGTCTGTTTTCTCTGATATATTTTCTCCAATCCAAATTATTTTCTTATCATTGAGTCTCCATAGCAACAGCGTTTTCATTGGTTGGAACTTAAAACGATCCTCCTCTCTCACCTGATCATACAAATGAGCTCCTGCTGCTAGAGCATCCGTCACTGACAGATAAACAGCGTCTCTAAAACGTCTCCTCTTTTCTTCTTTCATTAATTAGCGTCCTAATCAAGAACGTGGTCGGATCAGAACATTTCCATTCAGTATGTAATTATCCTATCTGCTGGAGCTGATAACACACTTTAATGAATGAGCTCAAGAGGCAATGAGAACGTGACAGTCAGAGAGAGAGAGAGATCGAGAGCTTTTAACATGCTGGTTAATATTAGTCATTGTCTCACACAGGGGGATTTGTACTACAAGTGTATAAGGTTTAGGCCTAGTTTACAATATGTAGGCTACTCTATTAACTGTGATGACATCCAGTTGTTTTCCTGTAGTTAAATCTGCAAAAGAAATGTGTTGTGATATATTTTGTTATATATCGATATACACTTTATATCTCTATATCTGTACAGGAAAAATAACCCCCCCAAAACAAACTGCATAAACAAATATGCCAAATTCTACAAGGTCTCTTTTTATTGAAGTGCAAAGAGGTAGCCAGTTCTTACATTCGTACATTTAATTAAAAAAAATTCCTGTACACAAAAAGAATAATTTAACTGTAAAATAAAGGAAGAAATAATACATATTGTCTTCTTTTCATTCAAAAATAAAACAACTCAACTCAACTCAAGCTTATCTTTGCAGTAACTCTGGGAGGTTTCTCACCAGCGCTAAAGAGCTATGAGATAGACAATCCACTGCGCTGATCAAACCCATAGTTTCCAAATACTGTTGTACAAGTTATTCACTGCAGCAGATTATTAATGCAGGAAAGTTTACTTAATAAACTATACGTTACTAAGCTTTACAACATATAAAGCATTACTATAGAGCCACATCAGCCCATTTGAGATTATGTGTTTTATGTGTTTAATGCAACTTTGCGCACATTTGTTTACATTTTACCCAAACGAATCTTAAAACCACATGACTCATTTGCATAAACTATAAACGCTGTGCCAGGCAAGCGGGGCAAGCACTGAAAAGGCAATCAAGTGAAGAGGCAAAATTTGAATAAAACCAAAGCATTATATCGATTCTGAATCCATTTTGTGTTTAAAAAAATATGAAGATATATTTTAAATATCGACATATCGCTCACATGTTTGCTTCTCAGGGTAGTGTCATAGACTGTATATGTAAATGGACATAGCTACCCTATGAGCTCCAAATAGGAAGTGAGCTCCATCAACTCTGGCTCCAATTGACTTTACATTGAAAAATTGTCAATTGTCACCTCTCTCTCTGTAATAACCGTTTCTGAGAGCCTTGTCATTTTGGTCTTAAAATGTTCATATTAACTCACTCTACATGACCCTGGTGTTTTTATTTAGCTATTTTGTTCTTTAAAAAAATTCCTAATATGGAACTCGGTCCCACATTTGCTTCTGTAACTGTCAGTGTAGCTGACAATAATGGCAGTATATTTGTTTTCATGGTAATAAGTGACAAAATTATTAGTTTATTTGTTCAAATATTAAGATGTGTCAGAACACCACTGTTATTAATTTTCATTTTTATTTGTAAAAATATTTACCTTTGAGTCATGTGACCTATTCCCTTGCCTCTGAGAGAAATAGTAGCTGCAAAAGAGAAAAAGATGATCAAGAGAAACACAGAAAAGGTGCAAAGAAAAGGCGTCAAACATAAAAGAAATGCCACTTAGCTACCACTGGTGATGTATAGGCGAACACGATAAATATATTGTTTTGAATTCTGTATTTATTTAAAGGTATTTTATTTAAATCTGAGACATTTTCTCTGTCCTTAATTTAGTTTTCAAGGTGTTCACTGTGTTGATGGAGTTGAAGATTAACGAGAATAAATACTGACACACATGATCATTAGTACGGAGAGTGAAGTCCTTTATTTGCGACGAAAACCAGGGTAGCTACATCTAGCATTGTGAGCTTCATTTGACTGGAGCTGAACACCATGGGTGACGTCACACTCCCTTAGTCCACTTCTTTATACAGTCTGTGGTCCTATCAGTCTGAGCAGCTTTATCAAGTCAATGTATTCCTGAAGCCAGTCTGGATGTTTACTGATGAAACCCCTGTGAAACTAATTATTCTATTGGCGTATTGATCGTACTGTAGTGTCTCTCATGAAAAGTTAAACAATCTTCTGAAATCTCCCACCGTGCACAGATAAAGGTCAAACCAAAAGCTCACCAAAGGTCAAATACCCAGACAGTGTAATTTATCTTTTTGTACACATTTATAATTCATGATTCTGTTTGTTGCTTCCTCAGCGGCCTACTTGAACACTGGTATTATCCTGATGAACCAGGGGAGACTGGACGAAGCCAAGCGTACTTTTCTGACCTGTGCTGACATCCCCGACGAGAATCTCAAAGACCCCCACGCCCACAAGAGCTCCGTCACCAGCTGTCTGTACAACCTGGGCAAACTCCTACACGAACAGGGACACCAGGAGGTAACTGTGCACACTGCACTGGTTCATTATACAGATGGCTGTAGGAAAATCACATGCAAAACCTTATGGAGCTCAACAGTGACCGCCCACTCATTTCTCCTTTTAGAAAATTTCAAACATTAATGGTGCATTGTGTAACTTTTTTGCTGGAGGGTCCATCAAATGCTTTTCACCATGTAGATGTTATTGCTTCAGCTGAAATGTTTCACAGTATGGTATTAAACCTTTCTATTTTCATAGAGACCAAACCAGACCAAGTTACAGGTCAGATCTGTGGAGGGGCATTCCCAAAAACAATCGGAATGCCTGTTTTTCTAGGCATTTTTGAGCTATTAAACCAGCTATAATTGAGCAAATGTAAGGTAGAGCTGTTTATTGTCATACTGTGGAACATTTCTAGCCTGATTTATCAGCTGGTTTTACTTTGTTTCACTTCGTACAAACCGTCTGACCTTGCAGTGTTAGAATTCGTTCACTCGACGGTAGGGGGGTACTTTTTTATTTAACCAATTGCTGCTATTTGGTCGTTACGTATGTAATGCGCCGCTAACGGGGCTAACTGGTATATTAAGCTTTTCCAAAATCCTGTAGAAAGAAGGGCAATAACATCTTTCCCCTTGATGAAATTCACCAAACATTTTCTTTATTCCAGCTTTAAATCCTCAATCTTGGGAATCGTTGACAACACTGAATATATCACTCTTAGCTGATTGGCTGGTGCCCGAAATTACACTTCTGGGGTTTACGCGAACCCTCTATTGTATTTTGATTCTTGATCTAGTTGCTGGAGAGAACTGACATAGAAACAAGGAGGTTAAGACCCCCAGCAAAAGTTACATAGTGCACCTTTAAGAGTTCAAAGACACTGTGAACAACTACGTGGCAACTAATGTGTATAACGCAGTTGTTTTAAGTCCAAAAAGCAGGGTTACAATTCAAGATTCTGCTAAATGTTGTAATAACTTTTTTTCACAAACAGATTTTAATTAAAATTACTGGTCTTGTGCTCATTAATCCTACCTGAACAAGCTTTCAAACTTTTTTTTGTTGAAAGTATATGCGACAAATGAATGAGAAATTTGCTTCTGGGGCGAACCAGGGGGTAGATGGTCGATGTTGAGCTCTACTGTTCTACTATGTATTGTTTTCTAATATATCATCCAAATCAAAATAAAAAAAAGTATAAATAATTACATGAGAAAGACAAATGATCTGGATGTAATTCACATGTGTAATAGTATTAGAGGAGTTCCTGCCACTCGCTGCTTCTTATATATTATTGATCCACAAGGTCTGTAGACTTTGTACCAGATTCACTGTCCCTCCTTCCTACAGGAGAACAGCATGCAAAACTATCTCTGCTATCTGAGCTATCTCTGTGCATTCTGTACTATATATGGTATTGATTACATGAAAATAAAGATCAGATTTCTAGTGGTATTTTGAATACCTACAACTTTATTGATCCACAAGTTACATCATTTGGACTCAGACAGTAGCTCACAAATTACAATATAAAACAATAAAAGAATTATACTGATAATAGTAGCAATAAATAGCATTAATGTTTTATGAATTATTAATGTGCATTGCTAAAGTTCAAGGTCATTTGTCATTCCAGCATGAGAAACACAGAACAGAATTAAAATTGCTGCTCAAGGCCCAGTGATTAAAAGTCACTACATTTTTAAGTACATATTAGTAAGTACATACCATTTCTATTAATCTATCAACATGAGTTTTACTTGTGATTACATGAATAAAATACATTGGCGGTCTAAAAATAAGACTGCATGTGAACTGTACAAGTTGTATTCAAGATGAAGAATGTGAAAAATGCCTGGAGAAACAGTCATTTGGCTGAGAAGCTTTTGGAGAGAGCAACAGGCTTTGAATGGACAGCTCCCAGAATTGGCTGTGTCACTGGGGATTGTGTGTTTTGTGAAGATAATCCTAAAGCTGTAGAAATTCTCTCCTTTACGCCCCTTAAAACGAGGCACTTCTCCAACGCTCATATTTAGGAACGAATGTGACGCTAATCTAATCTAATCCAATAACCTGTGAGGACAAACGTGCTCTTTCCTCTGACCTTCTCCTCAAAGATATCATGGCCTCAGCTTGTTGACTCTGCTTTGGTCGTCCTAACAGGCGTGAAAGTGTGACGATAGACCCTTTCTGTACACACCAGCCTTCTGGAGACCCCTGATTCTACGCTGGGTATTCAGTGCGGGGCCTGGCTGCTGTGGGAGGAAAGACTGTGTAGCCTTTAGCCACTGTCGCTAACAGAGTCCACCCCCTCTCCCCTCTCCTGTTTGTCTCATTCACAGGACGCCCTCTCTGTGTTTAAAGAAGCAATACAGAAAATGCCAAGACAATTTGCACCACAGAGCCTCTACAACATGATGGGTAAGGCGCGCTTTTGTTCAGAGAGAGTGCAGACTGTGAGATAATATAGGAAGAGTGCTGTCTAAATATTTGGGCTTGTGTGCTGTGAGGTGGTATTTGTCGCAGTTTATTTTCTTTGAATTATAAGAAGAACCTGGACTTTAAGATTACAGATGTGGAGCAGCTGCCTTCACGCTCATTAGCAGTGCATTTGTTTTTCTTCTCTCAGCTTCCTGCTTTGATTTCACACTTTCAAAACAACATTCACATGTCTCTCGTCTGGACATGGGGTTCAAGCGCTTTCTAAAATATTTGTAGAAAACAAAGGCTAAGGTCTGATTCAGCTCAAAACACAAAAAATGCTAATGTTTGGACTATGCTTAAAGAGGGGCTATTATGCAAAATCAACTTTTTGGAGCTTTCTACCATCGTATAATATTATTCCCTTGTCAAAAACATGCCTGTAGAGGTTTTATATGCCATCCATGTATGTTTGTTTGAGTATTTTGCACTCTCTCAGCCTATTTTTACCCTCTTTACAGTTAACAGCCTATATAATATAATATAATATAATAGCCTATATCGCTCATGCTCCTGTACTCCAGATTTCCATAAATATATAAAATAATGATACAAAACAATACACTACAACTTCACAACTTGATGCAATGTGCAGTAGTGTCATCCACGCTCTTTCCTCTTGCGTTACTCTTCAGACAGTGTCACGGTCTGCACGGTAATACTCCCTGCGGCTCTGACTAACACTCTACCCAGAATGCTCGGCTCTGAGGGGCCTGTCTCTTCTCAGTGGAGAGGGGGGTCCATGCAAATTTGAGATGATGTTATAATCTCACAGAGCTCTGCAGTCAGTAAGATGATACTGAAGAGGTTCTGTCAAAACGGTCTCAAATAAAGCCTCTAAAGCCTTATAGCTCAGCTTCATGGTTAATCTGAAGCCTACATAATCCAACTCTGGAGCTGTCATATTTTCCAAAGTACATGCAAAAGTTACAGTCTGTGTACACCATGTTGAATTGTTTGGTTGAAGATTTCTTGCATCATTTTGATCTAATTCAAGCCAAAATGTATTTCTTTCTGCATTTGACCCATCCTCCAATGTCACAATTTGGGACATCTTTACAATCAGAAAGTTTTGTTGCCATTGTCAGCTATTCTTAAACTAGGAATTTACATCACTGAAACAGTACAACATAAAACAATGAATAACTATAGTAAAATAAAAAATAAGAAACAATAAAATGCATGCATAAAATAGCATAATGGTATAACAAAGCTGAATCCACAGTGCGACAGTGGGGGTCCTTCTCCAGATCTTGAGTTATAGGTTTGCCCAGGACTTCCTACGGTCAGAATTCATAATGTGAGATGCACTGTGACCTATGAGGATATAATCAGTGTTAATCCTCTTGGAACAGAGAGTGCTCCACAGAGTAAAGTGTCTCTATCTCTCCACATCTCACTGAACTGTGTGGGCTGAAGAGTCTCAGAGCCTGTTACACTCTGCAGAGGAATGATAACACCTGAGTACAGCAGGTCTCCAGAGTGCCATAGGAGAGATAATAAAAATAATTATGTTAATATAATATCGTATTCTAGTACAGGCCAATGTTGTTGAACGTCTGTAATCATTTGAGCATTACTGGATGACACTGGAAGAGAGGTCCATGTTTTTTCAGGTGTTAAGTCAGCTCAGGAAGGCCTCGTAATGTGCGGATACAATTACATTTTACTCATAGCTCCACTGAACCCAGATGAAACATAGCATTCTATCATATTATTCTCTCACTGCTGCCTCACTGACTGCATTGTACTCCCACCGCTGATGCTATAAATTCTGAGCTGAACAATGTAGTGCTGAGTTGACCTCTGACTTCTGACCCACAGGGGAGGCCTACATGCGGCTGAACAGACTGACTGAAGCTGAGCACTGGTACAGAGAGTCCCTGAGGGTGAAGCCGGACCACATCCCTGCGCACCTCACCTACGGAAAATTACTCGCCCTGACGGTCAGTTACATTTTGTGCTTTCTACTGTTTTCATTGGCCACAGCATGAGTTCTCTGATGGGTTTACAAGCAGACTTTTTGGTCATAGAAGTTGTAAAATTGATGTTCAAATGTATCTTAAATTACTTCAAATGGAAGACCTTAATCTGCAAGCAGAGTAAAACACAATACTTAGATATTTTTTATTATTAGTGTGGAACTTGAAATGAAAATAATGTAGTCTGTAATGATCTGTGCTCAGTAGAAAATCTAAAAGGTGTGGATGTCTAGACTTGTGTACAGTGTGGTTTATTGCATTGTTTCCCAAAGACTGGGTTGTGACGCTCAGGTGGGACGTAAGAGATTTTTTTGGGGGTCGCCTTGTCACGATCTGCATGTCGGTCTGCAATATACTGTTTAAAACTTGAGTAGTACTAATTGTTCAGAGAGACATGATCACTCAGTCAACAATAAAATATCCTCATTAATGTTCAATAATGGTCAAATGCACCTTTATATTGTGATTAACAATAATGTCTATTGACTTGGGTCATGAAGGCTTGTGACTTTAAAATTGTGGGTCCCCAGGAAAAAAAAACTAACAAAACACTGCTTTATTGCACCACACAAAAATGGAAATACTTTCACTACTGTCCACAAAATAACCATATCAAAACTTCTGTGTAAATATGTGCAACCATTATAATGACAATTGTACATAGATTTATTTTATGTGGTGGTGACAGTGACTCTGGAGATAGTCATAGCACTGAAATGGCTGTTATTATGAGATAAGAGTTGAGATGAAATTTTAACTTTATTTATAATAGATTACTTTTGTAATTCAGTTCATAAATTTGGCCTATATCACATGTTTTTATTTACTTTAAAGGTGCACTATGTAACTGTTTGGTTGGGGGTCCATCATCTGCTTGTTTCTATGGATATGTCATTGCTCTGTCTGGAATGTTCCACAGTATGACATTAAATAAGTGAACAAAAGTGTGAAAGCACCCATTATGGCCCTGAATGATTATGCTAATATGACCCCACACTCAGTGCATTTCAATAGGCCTAACTAACCAACAGAAACTATAAACAAGTAGGTGTGTTAGTTTCAGAGTAGGTTCATTAGCTCCTCCCTGCAGGCAGATATAAGGAAGTACCCACCAGCATTCTGACCAGATCTGAAGAAGCATCTTGGATTAGCTGCAAAACACATTCAACCAAATAAACTTTGTCCAGTCGGAAAATTGAATTTCTTCTTTGCCATGGATTCTACCTGGACGACTGAGGAATTTTTTCACAGTTCTACCTTATGTTTATTTAATTGCAGGTGGTTTTATACCTCAAAAATACACAGAAAAAAAGGGATCGCCTCTCCACAGATCTGACCTGCAACTTGATCTGGTTTAGTTTCCATGAAGGTTTAATACCATACTGTGAAACATCCCAGACAAAACAATAACATCTCCATGGAGAAAAGGATTTGACAGACCCACCACTGGAAAAAATTACACAATATTTTTGGAACTACAGCTTCTCTAAATGTGCAACTTGCCAGCATTTAACCCTTTTTTTGTCCAATCCAAATGTAAAAATATGGAATATAATAATCTCACAAGATAATATTCCTCATGTGTGCTCAATCTTGTGGCAATTTTGGTTTTCGAGATCTTGTCTCATCCCTAGCTGTTACGTTCAATTATTGGGCGTGATACTAAACAAACTTATCCTATGAAATGAGTGAGGCCAGAGGACCCAATAGTGCAGTATATACAGCAAATACAGCAATAAAATAATCTGGCACTGATTTAGTAGGAACATATGGAATCGAATTGATCTCATACTGTGATGTGTGTCCTTTTCACAGTATCCATTTCTCCCGTGTGACCATAGAACATGTCCAGCATAGTTCATTTACATCCGTCTCTCGAGGTCTGGTCCTGCATTAGTCATAGAGCAAAGACCTTATCTGTCTGTGATCTGTCTCCGTCTCAGAACCACTGCTCATTACGACACACAGCTCTGTCCAGTCTTCCAGCTTTCACTTACACTTCCATCAGGTTTTTCATCACTTCTTAACTGATCACAGCCACATGCTCTGGACTTGATCAATAATGAGACACACAGAAAAAAACATGGCTTTAAAATAGCAGGTTTTATAAAAGGGCCCATATTAATGCTGTTTTCTGATCTATGTTCTAATGTTGTTTCCTCATCACAAACATACCTTGAGTTGTGTTTAATTTTATTCACTCATGTTTAACACATAAACCCTACTTATTTAAACTGAGTTCTTCTCTCAAACTGGAAACACTCCACCTTGTGATGTTATGTGGTAATACAGGAAGTGCTCCAGTATGTTTTTAAACTCCACACACCTTCACTAATATAATTTGGTGATTTTAGGGCTGAAATTATTCAATCTCTTAACCAGGCTGGCACCAACTAGTGCCTCTGCTCAATTTCATTTCTCTCTAGCAACTAGGTCAAGAATTGGAATACACTAGACAGTTTGCAAGAACCCCGGAAGTTGTAGACCGCACACCGGCAAAGAGCTGAACCAACCCGAGTTGCGATAGCAGACTGCATACACTATCCTTCTTTGGACTTCCTTTTGTCAAATACACACTTTGCATTTTTTATTACACCTTCAATTCACAATTTCACTTCACAGAAACGACAATGATCGCTGACAGATATGTTCACTCTCTGCTTTGTTTGCTGTTGTGCCGGCAATTACTTGGACACCACTGAGCTTTCCGGCACATTGCATACGCCACGACCAAATAGCAGCAACTGGTTAAATAAAAAAAGTACCTGCCTACTGTTCGAGCGAACAAATCCTAATGCTGCAAGGTCAGATGGTTTCCATGAAGTGAAACCTGTTGATGAATCAGGGTACTGATCTCTACTGAACTAAAGGTAGAAGGTACATTGCAAATTTTTCTGATTTTGCCAAGATTTTAAAACTTATATCAGGTTATTCATCTTGTTTTCAGAATTATTATCTACTTTCTAGTTCTGAGACTGCTTAATTCTAGTCTAGAGATAGTTTATTTTAAGATAACTTGTCAAGCAAAATTATCTTGCTGCATGGACAGATAATTTCACTACTTTTAAGTCATTTACTGATAGATTTAAGTGTTTATACTTAAAATTTTGGCCCAGCTTTTTGCAGTGTAGCTGTATATAATAATAAAGGGCTACTCAAACATGTGTGAATGAAAAGTAACAACATTATAACATGGCTTAAAGCTCACAAGAGTCTATTTTGTGTTATATAAGACCTTTACTGACTGTGCTATAGACTGTGTGGACCTACAGAAATATAAGCCCCGTGTTGCTGTTCATTTTCCAGCCTCCACAGATAATATCACAGAGGGTCAGTGACATGTCCTAGAACAAGCAAAGTCACATTCTCCGGGGTACGTTTAGTTTCACTGACGCCGACTCTCCACTGTGGTCACAAGTTTAGGTCAGACGGTCATCCTCCTCAGATTGGCCCTAGATAGGTGTTTCCGGATTAATGGAAGTTATACCTATAAAGGGCAGTGTGCAAAAGAAATAAACAAATAACACAGGGGAAACTGAAGGTTGAGTGAGGGTCAGGTGATGGGTGGAGGCGTCAGTGGACATACAGTATTATTGTTCACATTTAAACAGGAAGATGAGCCTCAACAGGGATAAGGGTGATTTCCATAGATATTTTAAAAGGCATTGCAAAAATATGGCATGCAGCCCACCACATATAGATTGTGTTCTGGGAGATTAACTTTGTCCTTTTGTGTCAGTCCTAAATAATAAGGCCATGAAGCAGCACCTCTGAACCAGCATATTTCTGTGGACTACATTTACATAATATAGACTAGACGTGTAATATTTAAAGGAGCAGTATGTAATTTTTCTGGCATGGGGTTCTTTTCTAGCATTCTTTTCTGGTATGTTTTCAGTTGCACATTTATTGCCTTCAAGATACTCTGCATTGAAAACATTCTTACTGAGGCTACATCACATAAATGTAGCCTCAGTAAGAATGTTTGAACAGTGTCTGAACAGAAGACGCAAAAGTGGCGTCGCATTTTCACTTTTTATTCTGTGTTACGACGAGTGTTTTCGGGAGGAAATCTGTGTGCATACGGTGACACAAAAGTGTGTGGAATTCAATTATGTATGCATGCCAGGCGGCTAGGTGGTGACTCTAGGGGGAGATGTATTTGACGTAAACACGTATGAGACACTTATGAGCAGATCTGACTAGAGTTTTGCATCTTGGGAAGTATAGATGGAAACACTATGGCGGAGCGTATTCAACTTTTACACTCTGAAGGGTAGTTACAGATTTTTTCATGTTTAAGCCCCAAAAATGCCATCACTGTGTAAATGAAAGGCATTTCCAATAAAATATTTTGTCATTTTTACCCGCAAGCATGTAAACACGCCTTGAGAACGAGCGAGCCTCTCCACTCGGCCTGGTGGCATTGCCTGCTTATCTCTATGGACATATCTGCTGGCCTGGCTAACAAACAGAAACTGTAAACAAATAGGTGTGTTAGTTTCAGTATAGTCAGCGCCTTCCTTCAGGCAGATATATGTTTCCACCGGCAATCCGACCAGAACAAGCAACTTAGATGGTCTTCACTCTAAAAACATTTTTACAGTTGACAGAATTGAATTGAATTTCTCTTTGGCTCTGTGGAGATGGAGAAGTATAATTCCAGCGGAAAATTCAAAGCATAGCAATATTAATTCCATGGAGAGAAGCAGGTGGTGCACCCGCCATTAGAAAAGCTCCGTTTAGTACAGAAGAGCAGCAACAACATTTCATAATAATCTGAAAAGGACTGGCATTAAAAGGCGTGTAGAGCTAAAATTAAGGCAATAGCAGAGAAATCCACATATGTAGAGAAAGGCGTTTATTGAAGAACGGGTTATTGATTTTTTTCTGTCAGGTTCAAAGCTGCTGCGGTGAGTCTTTGATGATGATTGACACTTCTGTAGCCCTTTGTGTAGAAAGAA